CATCCAGATTGAGAACCACAAGGGAGGTGACTGAAGCATGGGCTGTGTGTGGGTTCAGACAGCCAGGCATAGCACAGTAACCCGAGGCACAGCTGCCTGCCTGCCTTACAGAGCCAATTTCCTCATCTGTAAGGTGAGGTGATAACTACCTCATAGGATCACTGCAGAGTGCCGGCCGTGGCAGAAACAGTCTTACTACTTATTCTCTGTACAGTCAGCCTAAATCTGGATTGTTACCACCTTAAAATGGCAAGGTCCCAGAATTACTGCTGCTTTTATTACTGCCCCCTCCACACACATTGAGTCCACCTGCTCCTTGGTAGGCTCAGCTAAGACACAATTCCCCTGCCTTGCTTCCCGAGAGTGACAGCAGGAGCCACCTTACCTGTCTTACATCGTCATTTCAAACTAGATGTTTACTTTCCAAAGGGACTTCAGGCTTTAATGTTAGAGTGAGGTGGCAGGCTTCTGGAGGGCATTGCTGCTGTGACCTAGGTATTACCATCAAGTGTTTAGAACTCGTGTGCATTCATAGCCAAGTGCTAGAGTTACAGACCCAAAGGAACCTAGGGAGGACTTCTGATGGTGTAAAGAAGGCTTTATAGCCTTCCAAGACAGACTCAAGTTTCTTGTGCTGTGTTGGGACTGGGCAAGCGCTTCACACTGAGCTGGAGCCCCATCCGGCCTTAGAGTTAGTGCTATCTTACCTGAAGATAACTCACCACTTTAATACAGTTTATGTCTTTCTTACTAATCTTTTTCTCCCCCTTTTTAAAATTTAAATTAGAAACATGGTTATTTTACATGTTAATCCCCATTCCCTCACCCTCCCATCCTCCCCTGTCACCCCCACCAAACCCCCGCCAATTCTCTCTGTGCTCCCCAGGGAGGCTGAGGCCTTCCATGGGGAACCTTCAAAGTCTGTCATATCAGTTGGGGCCTTACTAATCTTATATAGTAATTTCCACATACTTTTGAAATACTATGTGTCACTACCCACATCGGCAAGGGAATTTCAGTCTCTAGGTGTTTATGACTGTGATATTGAAGGAACTAGGAGAAGCTTTTGAAGAGGGCAACGTGACAGATGTGTAAGGATTTGGTTGTTTATAACATCCATACAACCTCTATCGTGTAATGGTGTGTTAGACCCTTTGTTGACATAAAGCATTACATATAAGCCCAGCTAGTTGATGAAACAGAAATCGGGTCCCATTTCTGCTCTCAGTTCAATGGACAGCAGAGAAGTTAGCAGATAGAAACAAGCTGTAAGTTGGTAGGAGAGTTCTCGAATCTTCTAAGTCTTTTTTGGAATGTCTTCTTCTCCTCCTCCTCTTCCTCCTCCTCCTCTTCTTCTTTTCTTCTTCTTCCTTCTTCTTCCTTCTTCCTTCTTCTTCCTCCTCTTCCTCTTCCTCCTCCTATAAAATGCTTTTAAATAGCTAATTTAGATGAGAAAAAGAATGGATTATTTTTAGAACTGCCTCAAGTTCTGAGTTTAAGTGGAAAGATGCACATATTCCCGATTTATATGCCCATCCTCATCTTTACCACCACATTTACTGTTTGCTTCCTTCATCATGCCTCCACCCCTGGTGGAGCTCAGATCTTCAGGTGAGTTTATGGTGCACAGGGCCTGTGGTGGCATGCTTCTTACTGAAGGGCAGCTGTACTGGCTTTGAATATTGTTGAAATAGGCATCCCCTACACCTGGTCATTAGAGACGTAGTCCGTGGGTCAATGTGCTGATTTTTGGGTGTGAAGAGAGCTGAAGCCCTGGTCTAGGCCCTGTCATTTGGACTGTGCAATGGCTCCTGTGTATCGGGTCTGCATGTCCTAGGTTACAGAAGCAAAACTTTTTAAAGGGTGTGTGTGTGTGTGTATGTGTGTGTGTGTTTGTGTGACGGAGAGAGATTAAAGATAGTTTCTGGTTTTATTTGCTTTTTCTTTCTGAATTTTGATTATCTCTTCTTGCAGATCTTTAATCACTGTCGAGATGAATTTGTTTAAAATGTATTGTTCACATTCCTCTGAAAATTTCTTAAATTTGTGTTCAAATCCAAATTGCAAAATACTGAATATGTGAAGAATGTGGTAAATAAATATATTTAGAAAAGCTCTTCAGTGTGTATAGTGTGTGCGTGTGTGGAGACTGATTTCTCTGCACTCAGGCGGGGCACCTTCATATGCACATATACACAGCCTCAAGGAAATACAAGTAAATCTATAAAATCAAACATCATAACACTATCACAGACTGTGATCCAGGAGGAGTTTGAAGTGATGTCCCCGGGGTCACAGGGTTTACTGTGTAGTGAAGTGCGGTCATGTGTACTCAGAACTAAGACTGTCATGAGTTCACAGGATGCAACTTGGCCGAGCGCTGGTACAAACACTTGGGATTCATCACATATTTCTCTTTTGAAGTAATTTTTGGTTGTTGCAGGTTCAGAAACTTTATACTGTTTTTTGTTTGTTTGTTTGTTTTGTTTTCCCCATCCCACATTGTTACCCAAGACTGTTTGGGACCACAAAGCATAATTTGAGAAGTTTGGTTTAGGACATTCTTAAACATGATAGCCATGACTATTTAGAGCATCCTCAGCACCACAGAGAAGGGTAAACTAGCAGGCATGCCATCACTTAGGCAGAAGAAGAATGGCTGCAGGTTCAAGGCTAGCATAGTCTACTATGAGTTGTAAATCAGCTGGGGTAACTTGATGACAACCTTAAAGGAGGTGAGGAGGTGTAAGTTAATATACCTTAGTTCTGTTGTCCAAGTAACTTCTATGCATTCATTATTATTTCATGGTCATAAGTATCAGGCAGCTTTATATGCCAACAGTAGCTGAGGGAGAAGACATGATAACTGAGCAGAACTTTCTTACCAGGGTAATGAAGAGAATTATGTTACAGGTTCCAAATAACTAGGGCCCTATTTACATTTGCAGTAGCATTGACTCTAGCTTTTCTCTACTGGGGCCATTTTGGGGAGGTGAGGTAGGACTGGGGGTTGAGACAGTTTCTGCAGCCCAGGCCTCTACCTTCCAAGTGCTGATTACTGAGCTACCAAATTGGACCTGCCAGCACTTGACTCTTGCAGTCTACACATCTGAACTAAAAGTCTATCCCCCACAGACTGCCCATCTTGTACTCCATTGTAGCAGCACAAGTGTACTGACATTTTTCTCTCAGTGCGTCATGGTCAGTAGCTGGCATTACAGTCTTCTTCCCATGGAAGCACCCACAGGAGCAACAAGCACAAAGTAACTCTGCTCACCCTCTGTGGCTACCTGTTCCCACCTATTTCTGCAGCACAATGGAGTGGGATGGGAGAAGTCGCTTCAGAAATTAAATGTTCAGAGGCAAGAAACAGCATGGGGGGGGCAATTTATGGAAGTTTAGTGTCCATTTGGCCTCAACCAAGTATGTGCATCTGATTTACAAAGTTGAGCTAACAGTTTGTAAATTTAACAAGAGAAAGCTCTCGTGGGATTCCATATTCAAGGCTGGCATGGCTGCTCACTTTGTTCTTGGTAGGAGCCTGATTTACTGTACAGTGAGAAAGGTATTTCTCATAGTTTTTGTCACATGCTAAGTACTGTGCTTCGAACTGAAGATAAGCTGTTTCTCCCCGTAGGCACATCAGGGGCGAATTGAGTAACACTCTAGAACTACAGCACAAGGCTTTCGCTTTGTTCCCGAGCGTTGTAAAGCACATGCAAACACATGCATATTCATACACCAACTAGACAACACGAGGCATTTCGATTTTAGAGCCTGTGGTATTTGGCTAAACTGTAATTAAATTTCCTAGGTACTAAAAAAATTTCTCTTCTGGAAAATTCGAAATTAATGCAGGTGTGGTAGTGCATGCCTGTGAACCTAGCATTCCAGGTGGAGGCAGGAGGATTTCAAAGGTTGAAGTCAACCTGAGCTATGCAGCCAACTCCTTTCTTTCAAAAAAAAAAAAAAAAAGTGCTAATTAAAATCCTTATGTTTTAGTAAAGCCACATTAAATATACTAGCTACTTCCCACTCACTGGACTCCTTCAAGGAGATTTGCAGGCTCACATCTGAGCATCCAAAGATGAACATGAAATTCCCTGTGCACGTGCTGTAAAAATGAACTTGTATGGCCTGGCGTGGTGGCACACGCCTTTAATTCTAACAATTGGGAGGCAGAGGCAGGAGGGTCTCTGTGAATTTGAAGCTACCTGGGATATTTAGAAAATAGGAAAAACAATAAAGACGACTCAATGACAAACAACTACTACACCCTCTCCTAAGGGCGGGGCCGCGGGGAAGTCTCTAAGGGAGATGGGTGGCCAATTGGTCCTGCGCTTGCGCAGTCCGCAGCCGGAAGCACGTCCGCTAGAGGCTGTCTCCGAGACAACAGCCCGATTAAATATTTGCCTTTCTTATTGCTACTACGCACGACTAAAAGCACACAGAAACAGCTATGTGGAGACTGTTCCATCTGGTTCTCTCTCTCTTTTTCTTGACGGCGCCGCCCGAGGCAGCCCAGTCCACAGGTTGCTAGGACACGGGGTCCTGCGTTGCTATAACGACGCAGGGCGTTCCAGGAAAGGGTTTACCGACCGAGGCCTGGCGGGAAACACAATCTGTGGGTACAGCTGCTGTGTCAGTGTCTGCGTCCTCTGCAGAAGGGACCGCGGGAGCCCTGCCCGACTCGAGCCCGTGTAAGCTGGGCCGCGCTGACCCGCCCCGCCCGCCGTTTGTAGGGCGGACTCGACTTTCCGGGGTTAGGCCCTGACTCTGACCCACCATACCCCTCCGACGTGCCAGGTTATCTGAGAGAACACTACCCAGAGAAGAGAAACCATGCTAGATGAATTCTGAATTCCAATCTGAACATAAACCCTCAAGAGGTCTCCTTGTTCATTTGCTTTGTTTTGCCTACAGAAGCACGGGACGGCCTGAAAGTCCCAGCACGATTTTGATTTGTTTCTGAGTTAATTTTGTAGAGGAATAGTTCTGAGATAGGAAGCACTGTTTATTATGTCTCTCCGTAAAGCGTCAGGAACTTCGCTGAACTCTCCATCAGCATCTGAGGCCAAACAATCAAAACTCTCTGTCTTCAAGGAGGAGACAAAAGGTAAACACCATCATGGCCATTGACAGACTTCACACTCCCTTCTCCCTTCGCCTAGGACAACCTGGCTTTTACCCACTCAGAATCCTGTTCCATCTTCGTTTAAATACTAACAGCTGTATGAACTGTTTAACTACTAACTGTTAAATACTAACACCTGTTTGGCTCCTTGCTCTCTTACTTTAAGGGAACTTTAAAAATGTAGTAGTGTGGATAAGATAAACACAGCTTAGTACTGATTGCCTATTGGTATACGATTCAAGATTTTTCTGAGAATCCTTAAAATTTCCATCCTTGGAGCTCGGCTTTGTGGCTCACACCTTTAATCCCAGCACTCTGGAGGCAGAGGCAGGCAGATTTCTGTGAGTTTGAGGCCAGTCTGGTCCACAGAATGAGTTCCATGACAGTTAGTTACATAGTGAGACCTTGTTAAAAAGAAAAAAGAAAAAACAGGTTAATGACAAATGTAGGCTTGTAGAATAAGAATCAAGCACAGTCACCCTTTCATCCTTTCTCTTAGACTGAGACCTTCTCTAGTCTTACTCTCCCATCAAACCTCTCATTATTTAGGAGGCATGGATGATTCTACTCAGGGACTTACACACACTAAGTAAGGACTCTACCCTGAGCTAGCTCCCTGTTCACTTTTTATATTGAAACAGGGGAGTCTCAATTGTCCAGGTTGGCTGTGCACACAATCACTCTGCAGCCCAGTCGTTTTATTTGTATCTCCATGTTTCCAGGCTCTCCCTCCTCCACCCAGCTGTGGACTGGATGGTCTTCTGTGCTTTAAGTATTATTTGTTGTCTGTCCACTAGAAGCACTCCTCCTGTTAGAAACACATATGTGACTGGTAAGGCAGTTGGGGGAACTTTAGCTCCTCAGAGCACTCCACTGAGTTTTTCTTTCCTGTCACGTTCGTAGGACTTCCTGAGCTAAAGGAAAAAAAAGCCATGGTGGACCATCTCAAACCTCTTCCTGCTTCTCTTCCAAATGAATTCATCCCCCAGGAAGTTCTTCTGTCTCTGAACTATGCAGCCAATGCTGGTCCATGTCCTGAAAACTTACTGCCTACTAAGAAACTTAGAGCCCCAAAGGTGCGTATACACAAACCTAGAAAGGTTCACTTCAATAAGTGGTGAGCATAGGTTTTATATGTCAGATGCTCTTTAAAAATTCAGAGTTAAATTTAAAATTTCTTATTATTAGTTCATGTGTGAGTTTGGGCAAAGGGTCAAAGGATAGCTTCCAGGGGTTGGTTCCCTGTTTCCACCGTGGGTTCTGGGGAGAAATACAGGTCGTCAGATTGTAAGCTCTTTCAGCTGCTGAGGCATCTTGCCAACTAGAGAATTCAGCTCTTGCTGAGCATGGTGGCTGGCACTGATAATTCCAGCACTTCAGAGGCTGAAGCAGGAAGATTATCATGAGTCCCAGGCCAGATTGGACCACACAATGAGAGACTGCCTCAAAAAACAAAACCAAAAGAACAAATCCAGAAGCAACCAAAGCAAAAACAGAACAACCCATCCCCAAACAAAAACAAAAACAACTCCTCAGATCTTTTAAGCAAGTGTTTTCATTGTTTAAGCGTTTCTATAACCTGATTTTATGTAAATTCACCAAACATACTGCTGCTGTCTTAATATTCTGCTTCTCTATAAAGCATCCAAATGCCCTCGGTGTAAATATTCAAATTGGTATTTTTTCTTTGACTAGAGTGCCCTCTGCTGGACATTTATGTCTAGCTTTTTTTTTTTTTTTTTTTTCCTTTTTTCTTTTTCCACAGGGTGCCCTTCCTCGCCTTGTAGACCACGTCTGGCAGCACCCTGTTCGAAGGAATAAATTCAAATATCTGATTGATCATCCTGTCTCCCTAACAGGAGCTGGAAGGTAAAGAAGGAAGAGAATGGGATATATGCATGTAGATAGCATTATTGTCTCCTTTTGGGTGATAGTCATGGGAGGGGGTGAAATGGCAGCATTGTAGAATTATGAATTGTGAAATTTACAGTATCATTGGTAAATAATAATTCTGAAAGGATAGGTGTGTGGTTATTGTCAGTATGGTAGCTTTGATTCTGGCTGTACATTTTGATTTGCTGAATATTTGTTTGTTTATTTATTGTGTGTGAGTGTGTGTATATGACATGTCCCTTGTGTGAGGTCAGAGGACAACTTGTAGGAACCCATTCTCTCCTTCCACGGTATGGGCCCTGCAGATTGAACTCGGGCTATCAAGTTTGGTGGCAAGCCCCTCTATCCACTGAGCCTTTTTCCAGGCCTGGTTTGTTCATTTTCTCTTTTTTGCATGCATCTGTGTACTTCTTCCTTGAGTCTCCTGGGTTTTTGCACTATACTAAAAGGAACAAGCTCCAACAAACAGAAAGCAGTTAATGAATTTTATATCTGTTGGTACCCATGGTTTTTTTACATGATGTGGAAAGTCTTGGTGAATGGGTTAATTTCCTGGGTCTTTTCAAAGGGAACCCTTAACCTTTTACATTGTTTCAGATTAAATCATCAAATGGTGTGTATTGTTTTGTATCAGTCCCAAAAATACTGTCACATTTTTTTTCCTCGAAGATTGTGGCTTATTCATTTGAAAGTATTTTCCATTTATAAAATCTTCCTGCATATCTTGCTTACATGCCAGAAATTTATCCACACTTAAGTGTAGGGTATTTAATCTTATTGAAGTTACTTTCCTCAGTGGTGAAAAGGGATAAAGAGAGTTGCTTCAATTGTATGTGCCTGTAGGGGTATGGGAAAGCAGACATGAGAGGGCGGAGCATCTTATTGCTGTGCTCTTCCTCAGTGTTACAAAGAGCAGCAGAGACTTGGCTGGATGCCTTTAGAGTCTTAAAGAATCTGTACTTTGTGCATTCAGATTGCAGCTATAATTATTACTGTTGTAATCAGCAGTTACAAGATGGTTGAACTATGTTGAAAAGTTAACTACTTATATCTGAATGTGGCTTTAATGTCAAATGATTTCTGAATGGAAGTTCTTAAAACTGTGGCCATCAAGTAGCAGCACCTCTATCCTCACTGTAGTCCTAGAACTCAAGAATACAGATATCAGCCCTCCTATCTTCACTGTAACCCCAGAAACTGTGAATACATATCTCACCACCCCCATCTTCACTGTAAGCCCAGAACCCAGTGATACAGATCTCAGCACCCCTATGCTCACTATAACCCCAAAACCCAGGGATATAGATCTTAGTACCCCTGCCCTCACTGTAACCCCAGATTCCATGAATAGACCTCACCTGCAGGAGACTTTGCAGAGGTGATGAAGGGTAAAGACAGAGAAATTGTGCCCGATTGTTTGTGAGCCCCAGATAAACACTGTCCTCTCAAAGTAGAGAAGGAAGGTGATTGAATAGGTCAGGAGAAGAGACCATAAAAGGATAGCAAAATGGAAGGACACAAGTCGAGAAATGGAAGGATGACTCAGCCTATATTCATCAAGGAACAGTCTCAGTCCCATGGCCTCCAGGAAGGAATTCTGTCACCATTCAGATGAGAATTGTCTTAGTTTTCCCTTGCTGTGATAAAACACTGGGACTGAAAGCAACTCAGAGAGGAAATGATTATTTCATTACAGCTCTCAGATCAGACTCCATCACTGAGGGAAGCCAGGGCAAGGACCTGGGGGCAGGAGCTGGTTGAATACTGATTACTGGTTTGTTCCCTATGGCTTGTTCAGTTTCCTTCCTTCTCCCTCCCTCCCTCCCTCCCTCCCTCCCCTCCCTCCCTCCCTCCCTCCCTCCCTTCCCTTCCTCCTCCCTCCCTTCCTCCCTTCTCTTCCTTCTTCCTTCCCTATTCCCTCCTTTCCACTCCCCCCCCCCCGCCCCGTGTTTCAAGACAGGTTTCTCTGTGTAGCCCTGGCTGTCCTGGAACTCGCTCAGTAGACCAGGCTGGCTTTGAACTCACAGAGATCCTCCTGTCTCTGCCTTCTTTCAATCATTATTCAAGAAAGTGCCCTACCAGCAATCTGATGGAGGCATTTCCTCAGTTGAGGTTTCTCTTCGCAGTAACTCTAGCTTGTGTCAAGTTAACAAAACCAAACAAAATCCAGCCAGCCCAAGCTTAGGCATGGCTCTCCAGGCATCCATACCACATCTTCATGACATCTTGATTTTAGTGCTGTGACACCTGGGTTGGACCTGCACACATAGAAAGTGATATACACAACTGGTAGGGACAAGGAGTAACTTTCCAGCAATGCCAAGTATGCAGAGCACAGCAATAAAATACAAATGACAAAGCATTTAGCACTAAGAATCTTTTCTGATGGCTTCATCAGTCAGTGTCCAATGCACACAATGAATCTCAGGATTCTAAGCAGGAAATGATTGAATGCAGAAAATGGACTAAATTATCGAGGCCAACAAGATGTCTCAGCAGGTAAAAGCACTTGCCTTGCAGCCTAGTAACCTGAGCCCATTCCCGTGGGTAAAAGGAGAAAACTGACTCCCCAAAATGGTCTTCCAACTGCCACGAGTGCTGTGGCATCTCTGCGCCTACACTTACACACCTACATCACACATTAACATCACAGACGCCCACATCACACATCCATGTTACACGCATGTCACATATTTACATCAGACCTCCCCATATCATGACACCCATAAATCATATACACAGTGACATCGCAGACTCACATTATATACCTATATCACACCCCCACTTCATACCTTCATATCACATCTACACATCACATATCCTCATCACACTCACATCACACATACCCACATCTCATACATCCATATTACACACCCACATCACACACACCCCTATCACAAACACATCACATATACCCATCACTCACCCACACCACACCCCCACATCACACACACCCATGTCACACATCCCTGTCACACACACCCATGTCATACAAACCCACTTTACACAAACCCACATCACATACACCCACATCCCCACCAATAAAAAAGAAATATAATGTATTGAGATATGGTCTTACTGTATAACTCTGGTTAACCTGTAAGTTGGTATGTACACGAGACTGGCCTTGAATTCACAGAGATCTGCCTGGTTCTGCCTCCCAAGTGCTGAGATTAAGGGTGTGCCCAACACACCTGAGTAAGAATATAGTAGAAATAGAATTGTGCATAATTGTATAGTTACATGAAAAGGTGGGAAGATATAAAACCTGCTGCTCATAAGAATGTAATGCCTACTACTCCTTGACATGATTGTGACCTCACATGAGTGTTTCACAGAGACAGCACACATACTTTCTGCTAGCAAAGGAAAACCTCTTATATTTCTCTCTCTCTGAGACAGGGTCTCACGTCTTCTGTAGCTTTGGCTGGCCTAGAACTATATAGCCCAGGCTGGCCTCAAGCACAGATCCACCTGTCTGTGGGCCAAGAGCTGGGACTAAAGGTGTGTGCTAGCAGATTCATTAGGATGTTTTTATACAGAGGTGTCATTAGACTTAATTCTAATTTGTCCCCTCTCTACAGTGCCCTGCTCTGTGTTTTTTGTCAAATTTTTTTAAAAAAAAAAATGTATGCAGTTTCAGTTATGACCCCTGCACATGACATATTTTCAATGCAAATGACCCAGGTCACTACTGTGACTTTATTTACTTTTTTGTTATTATTTTTACTATTACACTTGCTTCTTCATTGTATGTGTGTGCTCATACCACATTATGCATGTGGGGAGCAGAGAACAACTTTCCTGAGTCAGTTTTCTCCTTGTGCTGTGAATTCTGGTGATCAAACTCAGCTTGTTTAGTAATTAATTGCTCTTACCACTGAGCCATCTTGCTTGCCCTAGATGATCTTTAAAAAATATTTTGATTATATTTTATTAACATTGTGGTGTGTGTGTGTGTGTGTGTGTGTGAGAGAGAGAGAGAGAGAGAGAGAGAGAGAGAGAGAGAGAGAGAGAGAGAGAGAGGAGAGCAAGCAAGCTCACTTTTGGTTAAAGGACAATTTTGTGCAGCTGATTCTCTTCTACCTTTATTGGGTCCCACTGATCAAATTCATGTCTTCAGGCTTTGTGTGGCAAGAGTCTTTACCCACAGAACCATCTTGCTGGCCCCTCACAATCTTTTTTAGAGACCTTCTAACAGAGGAGCAAGGCAACTACTCCAAGGAAAATGAGAGTGCTAGCACTTTGATGAAAAGGGAATGGATATATGGTCAGCATTTTCTGTAACAGCAGTACAGAGGGGAGAGAATAGACAGTGAGCACAAATCAGGCCAAAGTCTACTTTAAAGCCGATGGAGGGAAGGAGACATATGAAAATATTATACATCAAATAATGATGCCTTAGGGAGCTAAGTCTGAGAGCAGTATACTGGACATATCCTAGAGACCTGGGGATCCACATCAAACATAATGACAAATTGGACTAGACATTTACTGTTGGCAAGAACTAAGGGGACTGACTCTAAAGACACGAGGGCGACTGCAGAATTAATCGATGTTCGATTGGATATTGAGGGCAAAGGATGGGAAGGGACTGAGTACGGATGCAATTTTGACAACAGCCTCAGCAAGTAGAGGGTGAAACAGACTGCAGGTTTGATGGCTTCACCAGGGAAGAAAGCAGAGAGGAAGGTGCTAGGAGAGCAAGGGCACTCGGTAGAGCCTCTCTACAGGAGCAGGAGGGCTCAGAAAGTTCCAAGAAGCAGCATCTGGGGTAGACAGGAGAGCCAGGAGTGTCGGAAATGAGGGATCCAGGAGATTGTTTTTGTTTTCAGACACAGTAGTTACTGGAAAAGTATTCTAGGCAGTGGAAGAAAACCACTAAGAGATTAGCTTGGTCAAATCTGCACTACATTTCTGGGGCATGGTTTCAGAAAGAAGGGGAAATCTCTTCTTCAAGGTAATATCAGGGAGTTTGATATTTAACAGAAAGACATAGATGACAGTCCGATTCCAGCTAGATACGTCATGATGACATAATAGCAATGCATGGTCAAGGGAGGATTTTTAGAAGGGAAAACACTCGTTATGAATGTACTAGTTAGTCTTTGTCAGCTTGGCACAAACTAGAGTCACCTGGAAGACAGACTGTCAGTTGAGGAATTTCCTTCATCAAATTGGCCCGTGGGCATGTCTGTGGGGCATTATATTGATTGGTGACCCTCCCACTATAAGCAGAGCCATCCAGGGCAGGTGGTGCTGGGTTGTATAAGAAGGCAGGCTGAGGAACCTGAGGAGACCAAGCCAGTCAGTACAGTTCCTCTCTAGTCCCTGCCTCAGCTTCCCTGGATGATGGTCCAGAACCTGTAAACCAGACAAGCCTTTCCCTTCTCCAAGTTGATTTTGGTCAGTGTTTTATCATAGTGCCACAAAAGCAACCCAGGCCAGGGAGTGTCTTAGTGGGCAGTGAAAGTTTTCTACACAAGCTGTTGCTTATGGAATGAGATTCTGAGACTATGGACCAAGATGGGAGTTTTGTGTACACGTGGCAGGGATAACCGTGGAAAAAGAACTGATTCATCTCAGGCAAAGGGGAGGAAAGAGTGTGGATGAGAAGTTTGCCAAGGTGAAGAGGAGAATGTGGGCAGACTCCTGTCGAATGTCCCAGTCTTATGGGGTGGGAAATGCTGGTCTAGGCGTCAGTTTACCCCTGAGGCTTGAACTCTGGCAATGGAAGGGCCGCTAGTCAATAAACTGGTGCTAGATGCTAAACCCAAGACCACCACAGACCAGGCGAGTGAGCCCTGCCTCCTTAAACTGTGGACCCTGCAGGAGTGTCCTACCCAAGCCCTTCTGCCTGCCTTGGTTGCTTCCTCCTCTCTGCATGTGAGGTGATGGCCGCTGCCATTGTGATATTTAAGCTACTCTGCTAAGAGAATCCCGACCAAGTACTGTTCTACCTTCATTAGGCAACCTTTCTTGGAAACTTATGGGTTTCTGGGGGAATCTGGGTCAGACTCTGCTGTCTTACAGCTGTGATAGCTGAAGTGTTCTTATATGACAGTGATGCTAAAAGTGGCAGATGGTAGAAGTGATCCAATCCTCAGGAGTGACAATGCTACAGTTTCAGTTTCTCCAGATGGTCCAGGGCGCTGCTGCTGTCATTGAAATTGTGAGAACTATTTGGTTGGTAAGCTGCTATTATTATTCTAGAATAATGGACTCATCTTCTGAAACAGAGCTGTGTAAGGACCAAAGGACTCTTATTGGAAGGAAATCACACTTCTTTTCCCCCATATTTGAAGATAATCTTAAGTGATAAAAATCAGATAAGCGGGAGACAAAAGAGGTAATGAGAGCAGGTTTGCTGACCAAAATTCATATTTTAACCACTAGCAGACTACGTGTGGCTGTATATACTCATAGAAAAATCTACTTCTAAAACATATTTTTCTTAATTTTTAAGGGATATTTCTTTCCTGTATGATGTTAAATATGTGAAAGGAGAGGCCAAGGAGAAGAAACTTTGTACCCCAGGTACAAAGTCATCAGAGCCACAGCATAGTGCCATGGTGCCTCATAATGTAAGTATTGGAGGAAGGGTTTTCTCTTCCTCTTGGCCTTTTAAATTGTTTCTTTAAAGTCTAAAGCAGCGTCAAGCTGTAACAAAGCCCCCAGGGCTCCGTTGTCTTCATAGTGCATCCCAGTTGTTTCTTTAAAACTGCATTTATTGGGAAAAGATCAAAGATGTTCTAAGCCATTTCCCAAGCCACAGTTAACTGTTCTAAATAGTAAGTATTCACTGGTTTTAAAAGTATAAAATTGGGAAGAGTAGATTCTCCCTCCTCTGGAAGGTTACACAAAGAGTTGTAGATGATGACTTCCCTCCCCCTCCAGTTCTCCTCCTCCCCTCCTCCTTTCCTCTCCCTTGTCCTTTTTGAGACAAGGTCTCTCAGTGTATGTACCCTGGTTATGTCAATCAGGCTAGCCTCCAGCTCCATGAGATCTGCCTACTTCTGCCTCCCCAGTGCTGAAGGTATCTCTCATGTTGTTATTCCAGTGTGGGTCAGGCCACTACTGATCTTCTTAGCCCTTTCATCACTCCTTGACCATAACATTAAATTTCCTGGCACTCTTTTTTCTTCAAACTGTACATTCTGCATCTCTTTCCACCCCACTTGATCTTTTTCATCATAGACCTGCATAAGAATGATTACTAATAATCACAAGACAGAGTCAATTAGACTGTCTTGAAATCTCCTCCACCAAGGAAATTAGTTCAGGAGTTGGAGAGATGACTCAGAGGTTAAGAGCACCACTGGCTGTTCTTTAAGAGGTCCTGAGTTCCCAGCTCACAACCATCTATAATGAGATCTGATGCCCTCTGCTGGTGTGCAAGGAGAACATTGTATACATAGTGAATAAATCTTTAATGAAATAAAGGAATTAGTCCATTTTTTTTTCTTTTTTTCCTTTTGGTTTTTGAGACAGCGTTTCTCTGTGGCTTTGGAGCCCATCCTGAAACTTGATTTGTAGACCAGGCTGGTCTCAACTCACAGATTACCTCCTGAGTACTGGGATTAAAGGTGTGTGCCACCACCCCCCGGAAATCCATTACTTTTTAATTTAACCTCTTAGAGCAAGAACAGAAAGCAGTCACAGTCTTTGCCAAAATATCACAAGTGGTCTCTAGCCCTGTTGCTAATGATGTTCTCCTCTGAAGCCTCTTTATCTGGTCTCCAAAGTCCCCATAGTTCTTAGTATTATGGTCTTCCAAGATTCTACTGGGATGACCCATTAATCATCACTTACAATGGCCAACTTAAAATGTTTTTCTAGTCTGATGTCCCAAAATCTCATATATTCCTCCAAAAAGCTACATAGTCAAGTTTCATAGCAATAGCCTACTTCCTGGTTCTAACTAACTTCTGTCTTAGTTCCCTTTTTTACTGCTGTAACAAAATGACAGGACCAAGGCAACCTATAAAAGAAAGTATTAATTTAACTTATGGTTCCAGAGGGTTAGAGTCCATGATGGTGGAACAAAGGCATGGAGACAGGAACAGCTAGCTGAGTGCTTACATCTTGATTCAAGAGCAGGAAGCAGAGAGAGGGCACACTGGTGCACGTCTTTTGAAATCTCAAAGCTGACCCCATGATATGCCTTCTCCAATTAAGGCCACACCTCCTAATCCTTCCCAAACAGTTCCACCAACTGGAGATGCTGAGACTTGTGAGAAGTATCATTCAAACCACAACAATAAGACATAGAAAAGAGCTAAAGGATTCATAAATATAGTTGTCCCTCCATCTTGAAGGTGCTCCAATCACCTGTTCCATTAACCACACATTAAAAAATGCTTGAAAAAATTGATATCTGTACTAAACAAGTACAGATGTTTTCTTGTCATTATTCCCTAAATAATTTAGCATGGCAACAATTTACTTGTATGAGGTACTACAGTAAACCATGGTCAATATAGCATAAATAAGTAAATACTAAACTGTTTTATGTAATGGACTTGAACATCTAGGTCAGCAGTTCTCAAGCTCTGGGTTGCAACCCTTTTGGCAAACCTCTATCTCCAAAAAAATGTTACTGTTTCTAATACTAGCAAAATTACAGTTATGAAGTATCAATGAAAATAATTTCATGATTGGATTACCACAACACGAGGATCTATGTTAAAGTGTTGCAATATTAAAAAGGTTGAGAACCAGTGATCTAGATTTTGGTTTCTTTAAAGGGTCCTAAAATTAGCCCTTCAAATACCAAGAAATGATTATATGAGAAGAAAAATCTGTTTTCGCATTCATGCTTAATTTTGCAATATATGTACAGTTTTTTCATCTATTGATATATCTATCCTTTTCTTTATAAGCAGAAGACATTAGCAGACACTTTGATTCCTGAAGAATTTCATATTGTGTCAAATACAGGAGTTTCAGGTTTGGAGTGTTATGACGAGTGAGTACTATGATGTTTTGTTGTATATCTGATATGCACACTCATTTTTATGGCGAAGTAAGGAAATGTTTGGGCAAGCTGCCCTGGAACAATGTAAGAAAGATTAAAACAAACAAGCAAACAAAGAGATGGCTCAAAGAGTTTTGGTTCCCTCCCTCCCTCTCCCTTCCTCCCTCCTTCCCTTCCTCCTTCTCCTCCCTCCCTTCCTTCCTGTTTTTCTTCTTTTCTTTTTCTATCACCTCCTCCTCTTCTTACTTCTCCTGTTTGCTTTTAGAGCAAAGTTAATGTAGATTCGTTAAGGTAAAACACAGAAGAACTCCTGATAGTCAGGGGGACTCCAAGGGAGGAATACAAGAATTTTGGGTTTTCATGATTAAATAGTTATATACTTTCTCTTACAATTTAATTTTTTAATATTTTAAGAAGTAAAACTTTAGGGCTAGAGAGATGGCTCAATAGTAAAGGACACACTGACTGCTCTTCCAAACTACTTGGATTCAATTCTCAGCACCCACATGGCAACTCACAACTGTCAGTAATGCCAAGATCTGGCACCCTCATATAGACAAACATGCAGGCAAGACACCAATGAACATAAAATAAAAATAAATAAATTTAAAAATATGTTTAAAAAAGTGGAACTTTAGGGCTAGAGAGATAGCTTAACACTTAAGAGAACTTGCTGCTCTTGGAGAAAGCCCAGGTTTGAGTTAGTATCACATGGACATGGCAGCTCACAACTTCCTGTAATTCAAATTCTAGGGGATTTGATGCTCTTTCTGGCCTCTGATGGTACCTGCAAGCATATACATATATCTACATACATATACATACACCCAGGCATATACACATACACATAAAAACAATCTTTAAAAATATGGAACTTTGAGTTGTATGTAGTAGCGTATACCTATAATCCCAGCCCTGGGAAACTGAGGCAGGAGGATTGATTGCTAATTAAAGGTCATCCTGGGTTACATAGCAACACCCTCTCTCAAAACCCCAAACCAACCAAATTGTTAAAGCAGAACTTTTTTCCAAATTCCTTTATTTTCTTCAGAGACAGGGTCTCTCTGTATTATAGCCATAGCTGTCCTGGACCTCTCTTTGTAGACAAGGCTGTTCTCAAACTCATGGAGACCCTCCTCCCTTGCCTCCTAAGTGCTGGGATTAAAGGCATGCACCACTTCCAAATCCTAATTGTGGAAGGGGTTTGCACAGTGTGACCACAAATACAATGCAAGGCAGTCCTCTATGTCCGTCTTTAGGGCATGTTCCAGACGGGGCACTAGTCATTTCATCATTTGCTGGTTCCTTTTTATGCACTTTAATATGGAGTCTTGCTTTAATTTTCTAAAATAACAGCTGACTATTGTTTTTATTTTCTTCCTCTTTTTTGTACTGGAATTGAACCTAGGGCTTGTACATGCCAGCAAGGGCTCTACCATTGAGCTACATGTCAAGCCCACCTTACCATCTTTGAAAATGCCAAAAGGCACTTTTGTTGTTAATTGCATTTATTTACATGTGTGTGTTTAGGCGATGACATCAGAAAATAGCTCTTTGCATTCAGTACCCCCTTCTACCATGTGGGTCCCAGGCATTATACTCAGATTGTTGGGTTTGATGGCAAGTGCCTTTACTGGCAGAACCATCTCAAAGGCCATGTGGTTCAGATAGGCCTGTAGAGAAGATGATCTTACCAGTCCTCCTGCTTCTCCATCCCAAGTGTTGAGATTGCTAGATTACAGGTGTGTCTTTTTTTTTTTTTTTGTTAAATAAATCAAGGAAATCTTTGTATTTCAATATATCAGGGAATATAATTGAATATACTTTACTAAAAATGTTCCACATATGACCAGTGTCCATTTTTAAAATCGTATCCAAGCTTTTAAATTCTGGTGAGGTCTTTAGTTTGTCATACTGTAATTTCTTTCATCTCCACTCCTCCAATGAGTCCCCAGTAATTTCCCCAGAGAACACGGGTTTCATTTAGTGGAGAATGGCTCTTAGGAACCAGGCTGCTGGGTACATCCTCCAAATACTGTACTCCTTTCTGTTCTGTCTTCCCCTCTCCGTGCCCCAGAGCCTCATGTTCCATCACTGACCTATACTCTTCAGTTTTCTTAGAGTAACATTTTCTCATCTTATTTGTTGCAGCAAATACACCACCCTCCTCACAGACAGTGAGAACAGGCTGTTGCTCTTCCCATCCATGTGAGTACAGCGGGTTTTCCAAAGTGTTTCTTAGAAAGAGTAACCACATACACATATGTTCCTTTCCTTAGTATTTTATTAGACAAAAACATTCAAGTCATACCAGATACCCAAGGTAATAATTGCCTGTAAGACCATGATTCAATTAGTAGTGTTCCTGTGACTCACTGCATATTTAGATAAGCAGTATGTGTAGCATGACTCTCAGTACTGTAACGTGTTTTTATTCTGTACATTAAGCATTAAAATCTCTCTGCTTTGTTGTCTTTCTTTTATCTCTCAAGCACTTTAAACTATCAAGTGTTAAAGCCTATTTTTATGGCCTCTCCTTTGTTCTGTGTTCCTGTCACAGGTGGTAACATGTGGTGTATAGTACCTTTGAGGGTGAATATTATTTTTCTTGGTTTCTTTTTGTTTTGTTTTTATCCAAAATGTGTCTATTGGGATGGTTACCACTCAGCTTGAATCAGGTGCTGTTCAGTGCTGCTTCCTCCTGAAGGAGCATCCTTCTGTCAGCCGCGCTTTTCCGCCCCTGGCTGACAGAGGACAGTTGAGCAGCCAACACACAAGACTACCGTTTGTGCATGATCAAAGACTGTGGTGACTTTGTAGCATCCTGGGCATTTCACAGCCATAAAGTAGGAATTGGGGCTCTGCACCAGGTGCTTTCCTCTTTTCCTCTTCTGGAGAGGGATGAAGGAGATCCTTCATGTTCTCATAGGGAGGTCATAACTGCTGGAAAGGCTATTTTTCTTTTAAGAAAAAAAATTACTACTATTTTTTCCCCTTGTTTTAAAATGTGTTACTGCTATATCACTAAATAAATATATCTGGGCCTATCCCTTTAAATTGCCTTTAGTATGCCATAGTATATATTTTTCCCAAAACATTTTATATTTTTGTTTTCATCTGAAGATGGCCTGATGAGATGCTACTTACCTAAGTCTGTCCCTTTGATCTTTAGGAAACCTAATAAAAGAGTAGAAGTGATCCAGCTGGGTGATGTGATGGACACCATGCTGGAGAGGGCTGGAATAGAAAATGAAGCGTATACAGGGCCAACCAAGGTAATTGCCAGTCAGAATAACACTGTGGTTAAAAGTGTGTACTTGGGAGGCAGAGTGCTTGGCTTGGAATTCGACTGCCATTAATTAGTGGGTGGCCCTGGGTAAATCATCTCATATATTTGTACCTCAGTTTCCTAATGTACTGATTAGAAGTAATAATAGTACATGTTATTGTAAGTGTGATTGAATGGCAAATAAAAGTGCTTAGAAAGGGCCTGGCATATGGCAAACACTATACTGTCAACTGTTAGTGTAGTTAGTTATATGTTGTTTAGTCGTGGGGATGTGTTCTGAGACAGGCATCATTAGGTGATGCCACTGTGCAAACACGATAAGCATGGATTTACATAAACCTAGACATGCAAGCCTAGGTGGGATAGATTGCTCCAACTCCATAAGTAGTTGTGGCACAGTAGTATGGATCTGTGTATCCAAACAGAGAAGGTCAAAAAAAAAAAAAAAAAATATCAGCTGATGGGGATTTTCAGCACCACTCCAACCTTACAAAACCATGCTTATGACCTGGCCTGTTGTTGATTGAAGTGTTGTAATTCAGCATGTGATTATATTTCAAGGCTCCATGGATTGATCTTATTACTTAGTTTTATTTTTAAAATGGATATGTTATACATGTTTATGGAGTACAATGTGATAGTTCCTTATATAATGTATAGTGATCAGCTGGGGGAATTTGCATATCCTCCAATATTTATCACTTCCTTGTGATGGTACATTTAAAATAATTTTTACTGGATGTTTTGTTTTGAGATATGATCTATGTAACCCAGGCTTGCCTTGAACTCACTATATCAAGAGGTGACTTTGAACTTTTGTGGATGTCCTTGTACTTATGAATCTCCTGTCTCCATCTTCCAAGGGTTACAGTCAATACCTGTGATGTTTTGGGGTTGAGTAAAGAGCATTGTAAGAGCTTTACCAACTGAGCCACATCCCTAACCTTTCTATTGGCAATTTTGAAATATGTAACTGGATGGCATATGTCTTCTTAAGACTTTCAGGTTGAGGAGGATTTCAAGTTTCAATCCAGCCTGGGATATATAGCAAGTACTTATCTGAAAACAAACAAAACAAAAAGAAGCTGGTAAGATCAATCAGTGGGTAACGGTACTTGCCACCAAGTCTGATGACCATATATCTTATCTATACATGATGGATAAGATAGTATTATCTCAAATACTGTCACCAAGTCTGATGACTGTATGTCTTATCTATATGTATGGACAAGATAGTATTATCTCATATTCAAAATTTATAATTCACCAGTTGGCCCTCTAATGCAGTGGTTCTCAACCTGTGGGTCATGATCCCTTTGACAAACCTCTATCTCCAAAAATATTTGTATTATGATTAATAACAATAACAAAATAAAGAAAAACAGTTATAAAATAGTTTTATGGTGGGGTGGGGTCACCACAACATGAGGAACTGTATTAAAGGGTCTCAGCATTAAGAAGGTTGAGATCCACTGCTCTAATGGGTTTTATAAGCTATCTCCACTCAATTGAGTATCCCAGGATCCTAGGATGCTTTTAATTGTCATTGCTTTAGATAACTTCATTTCCAAACATCTCGCCAGCTTTTCATTGCTTTTCTTACCCTTGGTACCCTGCTGTCCATTGGTTAGTTTGTCCATAGAATCTGCCTCAGTTTTGGTTTCTCTGATGTAGACTCATGATCAGACTGAGGCTTCATTCTGGTGGGTACAAGACAGGAGTGGTATTGATAGTTTCAGTGCATCACACAAAAGCAACCAAAATTAGCTAGATTTTAAAAATCATTCCTGGATATGTATATATGTGAATGAAACTGCAACAAGCCAACCAAGATTTTACTAAAATTTGTTCACTTTCTGCATATTTCCTTTTAAAAATGATTTTGACTTATACCCTGTGATAAGCACCAATTATCTGACTTACCTCTGACAGATGCATCAACTACTACATGTATTGAAAAAGGAACAGACTATTTACAACACAGTATTTCATGAACTGATTCGACAAGTCAGTGTGGATTGTGTAGATAGAGGAGAGCTACTGTCAAGAATCAGGTTAGAGATGTTAACAGAATATTTCAGGTTCTTCCTTTCAAAAATTTAAATTATAATTTAGTGCATATTAATAGGATCCACCAACTATTGCCATACATGCATCTTTTTTGATGTGTTGAGTTATGCTTGTATTTGCTTTTGAGAAAGCCACAAAAATATCCTGATGGAACTAATATATGTTTAGTTTTAATCTTTATAGTAAAATCTTCATCTTGGTATAAGATCCAAAAGTCAGAGCTTTTCTATGCATAAGCCAGTGGTATCTGTTGAGTGCCTACTCTATGTCAAGTATTGAGATGCTTGATAGGACAGTGGAAAGACTTAATTGATTTTTAATTATTGAAAGAGTCTTATTTGGCTCAGGCTGGCCTCGAACTTGTCATATAGCCTTATTAGTATAAACCATCATGCCTGGCAGTGGTGAAATTTAAATGAGAACATAGGCTGGGGAGTGAACACAGTCTCAGTGGGTAGAAATGCTTGCCATGCATGCCTAAGGACTTGAAATCTGCAATGGAAGGAGATAACCAACTCCAGAAAATTGCCCTCTGACCTTCACAGGTGCCTCGTTGCCTGCACACCTGTGAGTACACACAGCCCTATCGCAGAATCATAATGACTCAATTAAAACTAAAAATGAAAACAGAAACAGGTGCTCAACATATGAGTCATTAATGGTAAAGATGATAAAATACTAGTTACTATAATTATCTTTCTTATGACTTTGGTGCTGTTCAGAAAGCTGAAAGAATCCATCAGCCAAACAATGTATCTGTATTTCACTCTCTGTGGAACAAGGAGAAGTTGTAGGAGCTTTCTGAACATCTCTTTCTTCCTTTTTTTTTTTTTTTTTTAGGCAGTGTCTCACTATGTAGCCCAGTCTGTCCTTAAATTATCAAAGATCTGCCTTCCAGTTCCTGGGAGGTACTGGGATTAAAGGCATGCACTATCATACCCAACCTATCAGTTTCTTTTTAAAAAGTATTATTATGCATATCACGTGTATATGAGAGCACAGGGTGGGGTGGGGGTGGGGGTGGTGGACTTCCCTGCTGAACCATACCTCTAGCATAGCACCCTTTTCTTCTAGTGTGGATTTCTGCTTCCTGCTGTCTGACTGGTCTGAGGAAGTAGAAGCAAAGCCATTAGAGAATGGTTAGGATTAGGAGAGGAGAAAATAGAATACTGTGAGCAGTGCCAAATCAGAATAACAACAGAGCAGCAGCCTATGTGGTCAAGCACAAAATTAAGCCCAGAGTGAAGAGATAAAAGTACAGGACTGATAGCAAAAGAAACAACTCCTTTGAGTGAAAGCATTTTAATAATTTTTAAATAGTTAGTGTCTTTATATTTAGTCAGTTTGAGGAAATTGTCACCTATGAATTCAACTATATGAAAATCCCAGTCTATTCAAGGCACTCTGAATAGATTCACGACATTGTCCCTCTCTCAAAAGAATTTATAATTTAGAAGAACTAAAGCAATCCTATATTTGTTTCATGTCTCAGTTATTATTTATATTCCCAATAGCCATGTCTCTGGTTCTAACTCACCGTGTGTGTGCGCTGTGGGAGAGGAGTCTGGATTCCTTTCTTTTTCGTCCTTTTCCCACATACAGTTCAGGTGTGCCCATTGGCTATTTAATTTCCTGATATTATTTTCTTGTTTGCATTCTTCCTGTCTCTCTTTTCTTTCCCTTTTCCTTTGTTTCTCCTGCAGAGAGAGATATGTGCAAATGCTTGACCAAATTGCCCGGCAGATGATTGAATTCTACAAAGACTTGGTAACTCAGCGGGTGATGGACCAGCGCATCTTAGAAGAACTGTACAACTTCAAGAATGTGATTGAGGAGTTGACCAGGTGAAAACCTTGAGGATCCTCAACACAAAGTGGAAGCTAGAGCCCTGTCTTTACCTGTAGTAAAAGAAAATCATGGAGAGGATTGGTTAGAAATGAAGGTTCTTTTGCTTTTAGTACTTTTAACTTGAAAATCAGGAGAACTGGATACTGGTAGAAGGGCAGACGCTGGGTTACTCATTTTAACTAAAACCCACAATTCTACCTGTATTTGATAGAGAAGAACCTGTTGCACATTATAGACATTTATCTTAATCGTATTTACAGAACACTTCCATGAGGGTAGATGTTATTGTTCAAATTCCAAAGAAAATAAATATACTATAGCAACATGGTTGGGGGTTAACCTTGGATCAGGATGACCAGTGGCAAGAATGAAGAAGAACACAGGCTGGCAGACCGAAGTGGGTGCAGCTTCTGCCCCTGCTGTGTTCTGGAAGATGCTAGTGTCACATCGTTTTGTCTTTTCCTGTCAGTCTAAGTCCATCGCCAGATCTGACGAGAGTCCACCCAGGATGGGCACTGGAGGTTTTGGGTAGAAAATGAAGGTGTGGGGGTGGACACACAGAGTAACTGAGATTATATGTACATTTGATTGCTAGAGTAGAAAAGTTTTCATCTTTGAGTTTGAAATTTCTTTCCTTTTTTTTCCTCAGGGAACTTTGTCTGGTTCGGGCCCATGACAGCAAATTAACAAAGGAGGCAGAGAAAGCCCAAAAGGATCTGGCAGAAGCTCTTTTGGAAGCAGAAAAGAATGCAAAGTGAGTTGGTAAAGCTTATATAGCTTGGTAATGGAAGGAGGAGATGTCTGGTCATCTGACTTTCCTGAGCCTCAGTTGGCCCATATGTAAAATCCAGGCTGCAGGACCACCTGCTTCCTACGGTTATTATGATGGTTAAAAGTGACAGTATGATAGAGCCCTTCAGATGTCATCTCTGGCTCAGTGTCAGTTAATGAAGCCTTTGGGGATATGCTATGTTTATATCCTGTCCTTGACTGTTCAACACTCTAAAGGTGCAGGTCACACAGGCAGAGACAGGAACCATATCTGTGTCTGTTCCCTGAAATACACTGAAAACTTAATGTGACGATGCAAATATTATGAACATGTTATTTGTATGCTAAGAGATTGGACCGTTTGCTGAACCTCACAGCCAGAGTTCATAACATAATTTGAGGTCACTTAATGCTGATAGCCTACTGTGTTCTCAGCTGTTAGTTTGACCTGCCTTTAAGAGAACATTATATCAATAAACTTGATTTGCCTTGGATTTCCCAAGTAGCAAACTTTTACAACTTAGGCTAATGCACAGCTGTAATAGTAAATTATGTACTCCTCAGAATAGGACAGTTGTTGGAATAAGCTCTAATATTTCCTATTGCCTTAGCCTGGACATTTAGGGTGTGTTTCTTGCTTGATGTTCTTGTTATAGTTCTAACGTTGTATATGTTTTTTACCTTTTCATTCTCCTGAACAACAGTTGATATTTGTTCTTATTGTATATAGTTTTTGTATCAGGTTTAGAACCCTATTGTTTAGACAAAAGTGGGAATTGTTTTGGGAACTCTTTCAGCCAATCGTTTTGAGGTACCAGCCCCTTCTGGTACCTCAAAGTCAGGTATAAGACTGGGAGGTGTGCTCTCCTTCTTGGGTGGTGGTTTCAGGGTGGATGGCAGCTTTGAGAACCAAAGGTTCTCTACCTTGCTTTGTCATTCGTGAGTGATCCCCCAATAAATCCCTGACTTCCCTTTCTCTGGGCTTTTGTGGATTTTATCTGCACATATGTCTGTGTACCGTGTATGCACAATGCCTATGGGGTCCAGAAGAGGGTGTTAGATACCTTAGAACTGGAGTTAAAAATGATTGTGAGCTGCTGTTTGGGTGGTGAGATCCAAATACAAGTCCTGTGCAAGAGCAGCAAGAGCAGCAAGAGCCCTTAGTGGCCAAGCCATCTTTGAGTCCCCAGTTTTGCTCTTTTATGAATTAGGGTATTCAATATTTTTATAAAATTGTTCTCTGTCAGGCAGAAAGGTAAGCACATCATGAAGTTACAGCTCCAGGGATTTTCCTGTGTGCCTGTCTATGTGACTGTTCTCTCAGTTATTCTGAGCACACGGAAGACTTGAAGTGGTGGATCCTGATGCATGCCAAGGATAAAATTCTATGTCACTGAACTTGAAGTCTGATAGCAAAGTTAAGATCAGTGAGGGGGAATGTTATTTGTCACTGTCTGACTTAAATGTCCTATTGCTGTGAAGAGACACCATGGCCACAGCAACTCTTACAAAGGAAAACATTTCATTGGGAATGGCTTACAGTTCAGGGCTTATTTCATATCAGCGTGGGGGGAACCATGGTGCCACACAGACATGATGATGGAGGAGCTGAGAGTTCTACATTGGATTGGGAGGCAGTATGGAGGGAGAGAGAGAGAGAGAGAGAGAGAGAGAGAGAGAGAGAGAGAGAGAGAGAGAGAGAGAGAGAGACTAGTCCTAGCTTGAGCATGTGAAACTCAAGCTCATCCCCAGTGACATACTTCCTCCAACAAGGCCACACCTCCTAATGCCACTCCCTGTGATCAGGCATTCAAATCTATGAGTTTGAGTTTATGGGGGCCATTCAAACTATCATGATCACTTAGTAATTGATGAAATTATTCTTTTCATCACATTTAGTGTGTGTGTGTGTGTGTGTGTGTGTGTGTGTGTGTGTGTGTACGCGTGTGCATGTGTGTATGTGCGCTGGGGGTTGAACTCAGGTTTTCAGGAGTGGCAGTAAGTGCTTGCTGCCATCTTGCATGCCCCAACAACTTCTGTTTGGCTAAACTCAAAGGGCTTTTAATTCCAAGAGCGGAAATGGGGTAAATTAGAAGGAAAATGTACTTTCTGCTAGACATGGAAACACAATAAGAAAGAGGTATGTCTTGGGTTAGAGTTACTATTGCTGTCATGAAACATCATGACTAAAAGCAACATGGAGAGCAAGGAAGTCAGGACAAGAACTCAAACATGGTAGGATCCTGGACGGAGGAGTGCTGCTTATGGGCTTGCTGGCTCTTGGTTTGCTCACCTGATTATCCTGCTTTCTTATAGCACCCAGGACCATCAGCCCAGGATGGCACCACCCACAATGAACTGGGCCCTCCCATATAGAGAAATGTCCTATAGGCTTGCCTGCAGCCCAATTGTATGGAGGCATTTTCTCAATTGATGTTCTCTCCTTTCAAATGACTGTAGCTTGTGTCAAGTTTACTTAAAAACTAGCCTGGACAAGGTGCTTAATTATACATAAGCCTTTGGGTGGCTGGGAGGGAATCTCTTTTAATCTTGAGCTAATTTATATGATATAAAGTTTTTATGACTTACAGTTTATTAGGCTTCAGGACTTTAATAAAGAGTCCTAATCAATCAGCAAAGATGATTAACAATAACATTACTGCATTACTATTACTTGCATTCTGAATTTTAAAAAATGTTTTAAAAACTGTGTGAATGTGTTCATTAGATACAATGATATTTAGAAGGTTCATTGGGCATATTATTTTTGTCATGACTATTATAATATTTGTAAATAAGATGTGAACTTTTAAAATTTCACTCTAAAAAGCATTACCAATATATCTAGCAAGTATGCCACAGTTACCTTATAAAGGAACAGGCTGCTTATTTTCATAATGAAGCTATTTTTAAAGTATCTAAATAGATATTCTTAACTTTCTTTCAGAATAGTAGAAGACTACCATGACTTATATACATTACAGAGAGGAAGGATGGAGAATGATATTAAACTACTAATGACAGAAAGGGACATTTGGAGCTCAGCCACATATGAATTGGCCCTAAAGGTTGGTTCATCTGGGTTCACAACTCAGACTCCTATATTGACCAAAGTTCCATCTGACAATTTTGTTTTTTGTTTTTATTTTTTATTTTTTTGGTTTTTTTCTGGTCAGGGTTTCTCTGTGGCTTTGGAAGCTGTCCTGGAATTAGCTCTTGTAGACCAGGCTGGCCTCGAACTTACAGAGATCTGTTTGCCTCTGCCTCCCGAGAACTGAGACTAGAGGTGTGTGCCATCAACACCCAGCTTCCATTTGACAATTTTTATTAACATAATCAAAAAGTATAAGAAGAAAGAAGGTATATATTTATTGATGCAATCATGGGTTTTGTGGGCACTGAAGATGAAAAGTTTTTTTTCTCTATTGAGTAACTAGCTATTGTGCAATTTAGGGCTGTTTTTTTTTTCTTTAACTGGAACCTATACACTATGACTCTAAATTATTATTATTTTTTGGTTTGGGCATATATTAAAACTTTTAACTTTAATGCATGCTAATTTTTAGATGTTGTGTACACAAATCCCTAGAAAAAGGTAGTGTGGCTAATGTATACTAATTCTAATGTCTATAAAAAGTAGCTCTTATTTCTTCATCTCCTGTAACCATGTCAGGGCTCTTGGATATCATGTCACATGGGTTATGGTTAGGGAAACCTGTAGAACATGGCAGCAGTGCTTTACAGGGAGAACAAATCCCATATTAGTCTACATATTAAAGATGAATATGTGTTGGCTCTCTGTTCTGACCCTTGGGACTGCTAGGTAATAACACTGAATTCTTACCCATATGAAATTTAAAAAATCTGATCCAGTTGGATTGGTTCAAAATACCACTGGTGGCAGACCACCAAGCTCTCCTTGCAGGCAGCTTGCATGATGGATCTGTGTGGTGGCTTGTCTGCTTGGAGAACATGCAGGTGTCCTAAACCTAGAGAGAAAGCTTGTATACTGGGCAGTAGAATCAAGACTTTCTTACTTGGGGAAAAGTCCAAGAAAGGATTACATTTTAAAATGTAAAAACCATGATATTACAAATGTATTAGAATCAATTATGAATATAAATGTTTTTTATGATATATAGTGAGTTCCAGGACAGCCATGACTACATAATGAGATTCTGTCTCAAGAAATGAAAACAAACAAACAGGCAGAAAAACTAGACTTTGTAAAATTTGTATGTGTATGAGTAAAAATGTGGGTGAAGCCTGAAAAACTGGAAAGGAGAATAAAAGAGGGTAAAATAGGTGCTGAGGGGGGATAGGAATAGGTGAAAGGACACATGGGATATAAAGGAGAAAAAGAAGCTGGGTGTGGTATACATTAATCCCAGCTCTTGGGAGGCAGAGGCAGGTGGATCTTTGAGTTCAAGGCCACCTTGGTCTACAGAGTGAGCTCCAGGACAGACTGGCTACACAGGGAAACCCTGTCTGAAAAAAAAAAAAAAAAAAAAAAAAACAAAACATAGAATTTTCCAGTGCTCTTTTTCACTTCAAACTGTACATGTAGTATTTCTTTTTCCCTTACTTGATCATTTTCATTGTAGATCTGTGTAAGAGTGATTACTAACAACCACATACCAGAGTCAATATTAGGCTGTCTTAAAATCTCCTCTGTCAAATTATTTAGTTCATTACTCTTAATTCTTAGGACAAGGGCAAAAAGAAGCCAAGAAGCCATAGCCTTTACCAAAACATCACAAGAATACTTTCTACCCAGTTCTAATATTGTTGCCCTCTAAATCCCCTTGAGCTGTCCCTCTAGTCCACAGTGATCTCAGCACTACTGTCTTCCAAGCTCCTACTACAATGGACCATTAAGCTCTGCTTATAGTGTTCAAAGACTTTTCTAGTCCAAAGTCCCAAAGTTTTCCACATTCCTCCAAGCAAACAAACCACATGGTCAGGTCTGTCATAGCAGTAATCCACTTCCTGGTACCAACTTTTGTTTGGGTTGCTTTTCTATTTCTATGATAAAACACTATGAGCATGCCAATTTATAAAAGAAAGTGTTAATTGGGCTTTTTGGTTTCAGAGGTTAGAGTGCATGGTGGTGGGGTAAAGGCATAGTGGTAGGAACAGCTGAGCACTCACGTCCTGACCCAAAAGAAGGGGGCAGAGAGAGGGTACACTTTGTCTGAGAGAGGATCTCTATTTCTGTCTCTGTCTCCCCGCCTCACATACACACACACTGTAAAAGCTAGGCTAGCTGACCTAGAGCTTCCAGGGACTTTGCTGTAGCCAGTTCCCATCTTGGTGTAGGCATGCTGTGGGTACGGAAGTGTCCCACCACGCTGGCTTCACCTGGGTTCTGGGTATTTGCACTCAGGTCCTCATGTTTTATCTACTGGGCCATCTCTCTAGTCCCAGCTTACCTTCTTTTGTATTGTCTTTCTCTTTCTCAGCAATCTGCAGGTAGCCCATGATGGTCTTTGTGAAACCCTGAAGCTTTGTTCTCTAGTATTAGAATTAGTCTGTATTTTCTTTATCTGAGTGGCAGTTTATGGTCTCCCATCTTACCCAGAAGTCCTGAACTGTAATATACTTCCAGTTCAATAGTTTTGGAAAGGTGTAAAATTATGATTCATATTATTAAAATATGAAATTTTGATTGAAGTAATGGCTGAATAAAAATTGATATGTGAAAACATTACAAGTAAATTAGAGTGTTTAAAAATGTTTTAGGTTCCTGATTATAGTACATTTTTTTTAATAGGTGATTGAAAGAAATAGAGTCATAATGGCTAAAAAACTCTACCTCAGTGAAAAAGGCTGGAATAAATATGCCAAACATTTCATTATAATGCTGTCAACTAAGGTAAACCCCAGTTTACTTATGTCATGGGGTAAAATGACTGTTATGTTTTGACGCCATAGGCTTTGCCTTGCCAAATCTATAGATTCTTAAGTACAGTTCTATATTTATGCTCTGTTGTGGGTAGAATGAAAAATATAAGGGAAGGAGTAAAGACTCTTACATTGTCTTCCACTGTAATCAAAGCAACACATCTAAGTCTAATAACACTCCAGAGTCTTATAGAGTTATTTATTATTACTGCTTAAGATAAAAGTAAGAGGTTGTGGTTGGGTGTGGTGGTACAATACCTGTAACCTCAGAACTCGGGAGTTTAACAGGCTTTCTTTTGGGCCATCAACTAGCTCCCAAATCATGACATGGGGGGCTTATTATTAGTTATGAATGCTCAGCCTTATCTTATGCTTGTCCCATTAGCTCTTATAACAAATTAACCTGTTTCTCTTCATCTGTGTTTTGCCTTGGGTTTTTTTTTTTTTTTAACTTTTCTTTCATTCTATATATCCTACTCTGTGTTTGTCTGCATATCTGGCTGGCCCCAGGCATCTTCCTCTCTTCCTCCCTCATTCTCTTCTTTCTTCTCTCATGAGCCTGGATTCGTCCTCCTACTTATTCTCTCTGCCTGCAAACTTCACCTATCCCTCTACTGCCTAGCTATTGGCTGTTCAGATTTTTATTAGACCAATCAGGTGCCTTAGGCAGGCAAGCTAAAACAACAAAAGATATTTATATAATTAAATTAATGCAGCATAAACAAATGTAACATATCTTTTAAATTTATGTGCATGTATGTGTGCCTGTGTGATTATGTGTACCGTGTGTGTAGTTGTCCTCAGGCTAGAAGAGGGCATCAGATCCTCTGGAGCTGAAGTTTTGAGTCACCAGATGTGGGTGCTGGGAACAGGGCCCCAGGTCAACCCTCTGAAGATTAGTAAGCATTCCTGACCACTGAGCCATTTCTCCAGCTCCTGTCATCTGTTAAAATAATCTTCTGAGACATATATTAGTGTCTTTATTTTGTGGTAATAAAAATGAACTTCAGACTAAGTAATGTCACTGTCTAGAATTCACATTTGGTTTTGCCTGGCTGTCCAGTTCCTGTGCTTACCAGTGGTCATTCTGCCACTACAAAAGTCCTGTGGGAAAACTAAGTTCATTTTGAAAAGGAAAAATTATTGTCCCTAATAAATGTCCCACAGAAAATCCATTACCATAATGTTAATGTAAATGATGGTGTTTAGAAAAAGAACTATCTTCAACCTCTTGACACACTTCCTGTGAATTCTTCTAGTAATTCAATAGTGATAAGTGCGTCGTACCCGATTGTGTGCATTTTAGGACACTGCAGACCTCCAAGTGCTACAGAATTTGACAGAGAAATGGAAAACGTTAGTGAACCGATTTAAGCAGGAAGTGGAACAAACAGAGGAATCAACAAAGAACAGATCACAAACTGTGAAGGAAGGCATTCTCAAATGGCAGCAATTCTTCACAAATAACATGTGGGTCTGTAAGAATCTTGCTTTTCTGATTTAATAATATTGTGTCTGGTAATGCAGCTAATCCCACTATTAATTACTGTAACAAACACACAGTTTGGGGGGAGGCGAGAACATTCTTTACTGGGCCTTGAACACAGGTGCTTTCCAGTGCCCTCCTGATCTCCATGTCATATTGCTGTTGCCTTTATTTAACTCCAACTCTTTGTCCCTACCTCATTTTTTAAGATTTATTTTTATTTGTGTCTTTGTGTGTGATATGCATGTATGTGTATGTGTCCAAGGCTGCTAGAAGAGGATGTTGGCTCCCTTTGGGTGATCCTTCTTCCCACCTTCTTTGAGATAGGGTCTCTTGCCTCATATAGGCCCACAAGCTTCTGGACATTCTCCTGTCTCCATTTCCTGAGGGCAAGCTGGGACTACGGTTTTTGCTAATGCTTCCTGCTTCTGTGTGGGCTCTAGAGACCCAGAGCTCATCAGGCTTGAGTGGCAAGTGCCCCCCCCCTCCAGTGAGCATCTCCCCAGCCCAGAGTAGTCTGAGAGTGGAAGAAACTAGCAATAAAGTAGGTAAGTTGAGGCTGGTGACTAAATCATATGTGCAAAGACAAGGTTAGCAAGAATCTCTGCTTTGGATACAGACTGGACTAGACAATTTTACTCCTTTTGCACACATGACTCACTGATTGTCCGGCTGGTACTCACATTCTAGACAGAAAACAGTGAAGGGTGATAGTTAACCTCCATGATCTGTGTGACTACATGTAGAGTCACTTTGGAATCCCTTGGAACATCTGGGAGTGAGTTCAGCTTAGGACAGAAGACATTGCCACAGAGACACATTTTAAGCATCATTTATTTCAATTTTCCTTTAGTGGTTTCAGTTTTTCAAAACCCTTGAAGACTTCCCAATTAGTGGAGGTGAAAATTCTGAAAGCCAAAGTTGATACATCTCTGAGTGGCTTTGTGCAGCACACTGAGAAGTGAGGGGATCCAGGTGTCCACTCCCTTGTCCTTCAGGAACTTAAGAATGACTTCATCAGGCTAGCTATGATGGCTCTACCTCATAATGTGGGGGTAAAAGATCATGAATTCAAGGCCAGCCTGGGCCTTTATCAATATGTTTTAAGCAGTCACTTATAGCTCTTCATGGCTAAGCATACCTGCTTTTCTGATTTCTAATTTAGAAATAGAAACTCTGACTTTTCCTCACTTCCACCTCTCTTTCCATTACGAGCCAAAAGCTTCAGCATGCGTTTCCTGACCCAGGACTCACTGTTTTTCTGGACACTGTCCCTCCCCCCCCCCCATCTCTAGAGCTGCTCCACAACCCCCATGTCAGCTCTGAGGGCTTTTTCCTCCCTTCTCTGTCTTCCTCCTGTCAGCAGCTGTTGGGTTTCAGCTTGCTTGCCCGGTTGTTTTTCTTTCAAGCTGTAACAATAAAATGATCTTTAAGCTTCAAAAAAGGGACATTTTGTTGTTTAAAAAACTAAACAAATAATAAGTAAAAATATAGAAGAACAAAAATAAGCAGTTTTGTTCTTGTACACTTCAGAGAAGTGAAAGGGAGCTTCTCAGAAGAGGTTGAGACTCCTGACCTAGGGTCCTCTTACTTACCCATCTGCCAGGCTTCCAGTCCATTCACACAGTGTTTGGCGGGAATTCTTATGGACACCCTAGTCTTGTGTTCTCGAGATCAGAACTTGCTCTTTATAGAAATGTGTTGAAGGCTCCCAGCCCCATAACTTGGTTAGTTAGAACCAGGATTTGTTATTTCTGATTGTGAATTTGAAGAGGAATACCCATGACAGGAGGGGCTGGGCCTTGAGACTGCTTTTTTGGTGGAGACTGCTTTTTAATGTTGTTGTTCACATGTGGACTTGTGGGTTTCTTTGTGTGGCCCTTGTTCTGAAACCTCTCTCCTCTTCTTCCAGTGGAAAAGAGATTGTAAGCCCTAGTAGGGGGAACCCACTCACTGCAATCCTTATCGACTTCAAGGAGTTTCAAAAGGTAAGACTTTCTCAAAATAGTCTGCCAGTCCAGTTGCTGGTGGCAGGTGTGATGGCTCACACCCACAGCTGAGCCGAATTTCATCCTTTAAATGGCATGCCAAGGTTTATGAATGACAAAAAATGAAAAAAATATCAACAAAACCACTGGGGTCTTTAAAATATGTTTAAATACTTTTCAGTTTTGTCTCAGTTTGTGGGTTAAATGAAATAAGGCTGTATGGTGAAGTGGCTCTGATTCTCTGTTGAATTCGTGGTATAATTACTATTTCTGCTCCCCTTGTGTCGAGAACAAGTTGGACTTTTTAAATTAATTACATTTTTATAAATCATGGGGAAATATACACAACATAGATACCATTTGAACCATTTAAGTGTATAGGTCAGTGGCATAGAGTATATTCATTCACACTGCTTCATGGTCCATCTTCCAAATGGACTGCTCCTCATTGAACAGTAAACCCCAGTGTTTGCTTTTCCTCAGCCCCTGAAAAGCTACTCTCTGTGAACTGGTGGTTCTGGTATTTGTCCACCTATGAATGGCTTATTTCCCTCAGGATATTACCTTCAAGATTCATTCATGTTTCAGGATTAACCCCCTTTTTAAGGCCATGCTATGTTTTATTGGGTATGTGCCACATATATTACATTTCACACATTATTAGGATGTTTTTAAAAAAAAGTTCCAAGTTTTAAAAATAAACTTTATTAAGTCACCATTATGAGGGCCAGAGATATGGCTCAGCAGTATAGTAGCACTGAGCCTAAAGTGTGTCAGAACCTGGTTCAAGCCTCAGTAACACACACACACACACACACACACACACACACACACACACACACACAGACAGACACACACCACTACTATGATGCGACAGTAATGGAACAAAGAATGTATAATGACATTGAATTAATTGAAGAAAGAATATCAAACATATGCCCTAATGAACTTGCATACAGAGCCCAAGAAATGATTTTTTTTTTTTGTATATGCTTTTGAGACTAGGTCCCCAGCAGCCCATTCTGATCCTGAACTCACGATGTAGCCACGACCAGACTGGAGTTCCTCCCAACCCTCTTGCCTTTCAATGGTGGGATTACTGCTCCCAGATGTGACTTGACTCAACCATAATAATCTTACTTATTTCTTTTATTTGGCAGGTTTGACACATATGGCTAAAATAGAAAAATACTTAATTAGGAATAATAATAATCCTTATTTAGTTTATTAAACTGGCTGGAAATGCACTTCATACATTATCATATCCTTTCTGACAGCGCATGATAGATTCCCATCTCACATATTCCCAGACTTAGCTGAGTTACCTGTCAGTGGCAAATGACAGAATAGTTAACTAGTTACCTGTCAGTGGCACATGACAGAATAGTTAACTAGTTACCTGTCAGTGGTAAATGGCAGAATAGTTAATTAGTTACCTGTCAGAGGCAAATGGTAGAACAGTTAACTAGTTACCTTTCAGTGGCAAATTGCAGAATAAGAATTTGAGCATGAGTGTTTTTTACTCCAAAATCTTACAAGAAGAAATGTACAAGCAATGACAATAACCCAGGACACTCTAGAATCACTAAGAATCTTGGGGCCTGGAGGTTTGGGGCAGGCTTGGATTAATAATGTCCTATTCTCCCCCTCTCTGCTTCTTCCCTTCCTAGTTGCTGAGTGATGAGAAAGAAAAGTTTACAGGGGATTTTTTGTTGGCCAAATATGACTCCCTCAAGATCATTAAACGCTTGCAGGAGAACTGGACAGACATTGGGTTTGGGATATTTTGTCGTCATAAGAACATGGACGGGGAGTTGCCCCCAGAGCATGAGTACATGGAAGAAATGATAAAAACCATAGGCAGGCTCTACAGAGAGTATGAGATAAGAATAAATGGTGACAACGGTAAGCAAGCAAGCAAAAGGAGATGTCTTGGCATTGTAAAGAATCTAAGGAGTAACTACAGTGTTGGATACTGTTAAAACTCAAAGACTTCATAGAAATTAAAATCTAAGAGATAAGTACAAATTATCCCAGTTTCAAGCAGAAAAAAAGCATTGAGAATCATTTTGTTGAGATACAACTTAATATATATCGTCCACCTGTTTAGAGTGTGAATGCAACATACACAGTTGTGTATCCACTACCATGGTTGAGTTTACAATATTTAGAATACTTCACTAGGAATTCTAAATCCTGTATCCTTCAGTTCTTACCTTTTTATCCCCCTCATCCCTACCCTATTCCTAAATCCACTTTTTATCCTCTGTAGTTCCTTTTGGGCTTTTTATATGAATGAGATATGTGCTTTGTGCTGCCCTTTTATGCTTCTTTACATAGTATCATGATGTTTTTAAGGGTCATCTATATTTATAGCTTGTACCAATCTTTCATACCTTGCTCCCCTCTCCATCTTGAGGTAGGGTCTCTCTATGTAGCCCTGGCTGGCCTGAGATCGTTATATTGACCAGACTGATCCCTGAACCACTATCTTTTTTTTTTTTTTTTTTTAAATGTGAGAGCTCGATTCAATTAGCCAATGACATTTGGGGTGACTAGCCATATGGGTGTTGTTTGGAGTAGGGGAGAGGGGTTGGGCTTCCCGGTGGAAGGCTTTGTGACATAATGTACCATTTGGTGACCTGGTCCGGAGCTTTCTCCATCTTTCCCTGGTGGACAAAAAGGCTGTGGCGTTGCTGCCCACTGTATCTGCATGTGTGTGTGTTCCCCATTATCCCTTAATAAATAAGTCTTCTTCCCAACCATCTGTTGATTTCTTGCAATATTTAGGACATAACTTATCCACAAACTTGCAGTCTTCATGCCTCAGCCTTCATGTGGTGGGTTACAGTCATTTGCTACCATAGCTGGCCTTCCATCATTTTTATGACCAGATAAACTGTCATGTATACAACTGATATAGTTTCACCTGCTGATAGACATTCTGGGTTGTCCCTCTTTTCTGTGTTCATTCCTCTGGAAGTCCTGGCTGTTTGACAGCTCTTGTTTAGGTTTTCAGAGACTACACTGTTGCTGAGGTGGATACAGTTTCATATCCTCAAAGGCAGCCATTGGACTCAAGTTTACCTTGTCAGTGGATGTGAAACACTGTTTCACTGTGGTCTTAATTTGTATGCTACTACTTAAATGTTTGTCTACCTTACAGTTCTTTTATTTTAGGTACAAATCACTCTTCAGACATATAACTTACAAATATTTTCTCCCATTCTCTTGGTTGACTTTTCAAATATCTGTTGGTTTTGCCTGAATATATGTCTGTATAGCATATATACATAGGGACTACAAAGACCAAAAGAGGGTATCTGATCCCTTGGAACAGGAGTTACAGGTGGTTGTCAGTTGCAATATGGGTGCTGGGAATTGAACCTTAATCCTCTGGAGCCATTTAATCAGCCCCAGCCTCATATTTCTTTGTTGAGTCATTTTGTAAAATAAAAAATCAGAGACCTCAACTATTTCTTTGGAATGGTCTCCTAGTTTTTGCTTTGTATGTTGTGGTGCTCTGATATTGATTGTCTATGTGTTTATAATTGCTGCACCTTCTTCATGGATTGACCCTTTTGTTGGTATAAAATCTCTGCATCCTGCTTTTAAGGAGATTATTATATCAAGAAATCTGGGCTAAGGGAGACAACCATCAAATCCATCTGTGGATTTTCAGCTGGTTTTCTTCAGTCCAGGTCCTGGTCCCACTCACTCTTATACTTCATGTATCTGTCTCTTGCAGATTTTCCAGGGAGATTTGACTACTTTTTTTTTTTTTATTTATTTTATATAACCAAGTCCATTTAAATGAAAACAAACATTTATAGACAATATTTGGGAATTTGGGCGTTGTTCTTTCCAAACTACTTCCTGCTGGTAAGGGGCACTGTCATGGGGGATTTGAAGAAGACTCAGAAATCCTGGCTGTAGTCTGTCAGGCTGCTTTGTCCAGCTGTTTTGAATGTAGGATCACCTGGTACTCTGTTTCAGGCAGTCTGGCTTGATCAAACTACATTAGTCTGGAAGGAATCCACATCTTTTCATTTTCTGTGGAAATAAAAATAGAAATCGTTTTCCCCAGTAACTTGTCCTTCAACTTAAATTTTGGAGTCAAAGCATTTTTTTAAAATTTAATTTATTATTTTACATGTTGATCCCAGTTCCCTCTCCCTCCCTCCCAACCTCCCTCACTCCCTCCCTTCCTCCCTCCTTCCCTCCCTTTTACCCTCTCTGCTCTCTCACATGTACTCTAACCACACTCCCACCCCCCACCCCGATTCCATATGTAGGGGAATGTCATCCAGTAGGGGTCATGTAGGTCTGACAGGTGAAGTAAGGACTAGGGCTTCTCTCCTGTCTCTAGATTAAGGCAGTTATCCCTCCATGGGGGATGTGTTAGCAAGGTCCTTTTGTGCACCAGGGATACATCCTGGCTCCACTGTCTGAGGTCCCTTAGACTGCTCAGTCCTTCTGGCTGAGACCCATATTCAGGGGGGCCTGAGTCAGTCCCATGCTGGCTTCCCAGCTATCAGTCTGGTGGCCCGTTAGCTCCTCCTTGTTCAGGTAAGCTGTCTGTATGTGTTTCTGCTGCATGGTGTTGTCCTCTCCATCTGCATCTTGGTTCTAGTTCAACTCAGTGTTTATGTATGGGTGTTTGCTCCTGTTTCCAACAGGCATTAGTTGAGGGCTCCATGGAGAAGTTAGTTGTTGATCTCACTCTCCGGGAAGGGCATTTATTGTAGCCTTTCCATGGAAGCTCAAATTGTTAGTTGGCAGTAATCTTGTAGTTCTCTAGACCTTTCTTTGTGTTCAATTTTATCTTAAAACCAATATTGGCTCCCTCTTTTATGTTCTCTCTCTCTCTCTCTCTCTCTCTCTCTCTCTCTCTCTCTCTCTCTCTCTCTCTCTCTCCTGTCTTCTATTCCTAACTGGGCTCAATCTTCCTGGTCGCACATGTTTTCCTTTCCTCCCCCTCGTTTTCTCCTACTTCTCTATCCATTCGCTGCCCCCCCCCACTTCCCCTGAGCTCTGGGGGACTTGTCCATTACCAGTTCTGTGAGGGACTTTATATGAATCTCTTAGAATACACCTTGTATCCTAGTTCCTCTGGTGGTGTGAATTATAGGCTGGTGATCCTTTGATCTAGGTCTAAAATCCATATATGAGTGAGTACATACTGTGTTCCTCTTTTTGTGACTGGGTTACCTCATTCAGGATGGTTTCTTCAAGTGCCATCCACTTGCCTGCGAATTTCAAGATACCATTATTTTTTTTCTGCAGAGTATTATTCCATTGTGTAGATGTGCCACATCTTCATTAACCATTCTCCAATTGAGAGGCATCTAGGTTGCTTCCAGGTTCTTGCTATTACAAATAGTGCTGCTATGAACATAGTTGAACAGGTGTCTTTGTTGCATGGATGTGAATCCTTTGGGTATATGCCTAAGAGGGGGATTGCTGGGTCCTGTGGTAAACTAATTCCCATTTTCCTGAGGAACCGCCATACTGATCTCCAAAATGGCTGTATGAGTTTGTACTCCCACCAGCAGTGGAGGAGTGTTCCCCTTTCTCCACATCCTCTCCAACATGAGTCATCTCATTTTATCCATCTAATTTTATCCATTCTGGCAGGAGTAAGATGGTATCTCAAAGTTTCCCTGATAGCTAGGGATGTGGAGCATTTTCTTAAGTGTTTTTCAGCCTTTTTGATTTCCTCTATTGAGAATTCTTTCTTCAGTTCCTTACCCCATTTTTTAATAGGGTTATTTGGTGTTGTGTTGACTAGTTTCTTGAGTTCTTTGTATATTTTGGAGATCAGCCCTTTGTCAGATATAGGATTGGTGAAAATCTTTTCCCAGTCTGTGGGCTGCCGTTTGGTCTTGTCTACTGTGTCCTTTGCCTTACAGAAGCTTCTAAGTTTGAAGAGGTCCCATTTATTAATTGTTTCTCTCAGTGACTGTGCCCCTGGAGTTATGTACAGGAAGTGTTCTCCTATACCAATTTGTTCAAGGATACCTCCTACTTTCTCTTCTAAGAGGTTCAATGTGGCTGGATTGATGTTGAGGTCTTTGATCCATTTGGACTTGAGTTTTGTGCATGGCAACAGACATGGGTCTATCTGCAGTCTTCTACACACCCTCATCCAATTGTGCCAGCACCATTTGTTGAAGATGCTGTCCTCGCCCCCATTGTATAATTTTAGCTGTTTTGTCAAAAATCAGGTGTTCATAGGTGTGTGGGTTAATATCAGGATTTTCAATTCGATTCCATTGGTCTACCTGTCTAGTTTTATGCCAATACCAGGCTGTTTTCAGAACAATAGATCTGTAGTAGAGCTTAAAGTCAGGAATGGTGATGCCTCCTGAAGTTCTTTTATTGTATAGGGTTGTTTTGGCTATCCTGGGTCTTTTGTTTTTCCATATAAAGTTGATTATTATCCTTTCAAGGTCAGTGAAGAATTGTGGTGGGATTTTAATGGGGATTGCATTGAATCTGTAGATTGCTTTTGGCAAGATTGCCATTTTTACTATGTTTATCCTACCTATCCAAGAGCATGGAAGATCTTTCCATTTTCTGGTATCTTCTTTAATTTCTTTCTTTAGAGCCACAAAGTTCTTATTATATAGGTCTTTTACTTGTTTGGTAAGCGTTACACCAAGATACTTTATGTTGCTTGTGGCTATTGTAAAGGGTGATGTTTCTCTGATTTCTTTGTCTCTTTGTCGTCTGAAAAAAGTAGGGCTACTGATTTTTTTGAGTTTATCTTGTATCCTGCTAGTTTGCTGAAGGTGTTTATCAGCTGTAGGAGTTCCCTGGAAGAGTTTATTGGGTTGCTTATGTAAACTATCATATCATCTGCAAATAGAGACAGTTTGACTTCTTCCTTTCCAATTTGGATC